TAAATTTGACGGATCATACTGGTGAAGTTAGTTAGAATCACCTCCCTTTTCCCAAAATTCTAAATCTTTAGGAAGGAATATGGTACTTAGGGCTGTCAAAAAAATAAGAAATGCGCAAATGTAGGCTATTAATAATTGGAAGATTCGAAGTGATATTTGATTGTGACCGGGATAGGACCCTAATGAGGAAACTTAAAGATGTGTAAAATCTAGGACATTAATTTTGCGGTCTCAAGTTGAATGATTGCTCGATCAATTGTTCGCTCTGAAATTTGGTGTTTGAAAATCATGATTTGTTGTGGGCTTTCACTTTTACAGAGAGATTTGATAGTTTCCAGTAGGGTTCAATGTGACAAAAAGAAAGCTACAAAGAAAAGGGTCCCTTCAAAGCCGCGTGCCCCAGAAATAAAACACATCTGCTTTCGATCGTTTGATCACCAAAAGGCTAAAGTTGATGAGAAAGGAGAATGTTACATATGCTTTTCTTGATAAGGTAATGATAGCATATATGATCGTGATGATTAATTTGGACTAAATCTAGTTAGCATGCATGTGTGAATGATCCTTTTCTAATTGTTAATGGGATTTTTGTTTTCGTTCATTAGTTAGTAATGACTCAAAACCTAGCTAAATCCACCAAGTATAGTAATTAATTAGAAAAGATGTTGATCATAATCCCTTTATAACATAATTAATATAATATTCTGAAAGAGAATCATCATTAGATATACTTGTATCAAAATTTCTATCCACATATGACATGTCAATCTTGTAGAAGGAAATCCTGAAAGATGCATGTTTTCTTTCTAGAATTACAATGACTCAAAAGATTTTGGCTCATCATAACAATTTTTAAGAGAATGACATCGATCGGTTTGGTGGGGTTAAAATCTTGGTTAACGATTTCTATTTCGAAGCAAATGAATTCATAGGGGAGATATCTATTCTAGCCGAGAGACACATTTATATTTCAAAGTTAATGTTTTTTTGGGTCTTAATATATTTAAATTACAAACATTGATATTAGCTATTCATTTGTTTTGACATCGTCTTAAAACTAGAAAAAAAATTAATCTAATAATTGTATGGATCTTAATATATTTAAATCACTTTTTTTCTTTATATTTTATTGATGTGAGATTTTATTTTTTCACACTCATAAAACAACATACTTCAATTGAATCATATGTTAATTCGAAAATGTGGTTTGGTTAAATTTTGGTTAATTCAGGTAAACTTAGTCACTTTGATTCAATTAACTGAACTCAAACGACTTCCTATAAAAATTCCAAGTCATTATTTTGGTGTTAGCACTTGCAGCTTTGGTTATACTGGAAGATGCATCTGTATCTCTCCATGAGATCGACGGTTTAAGCATGGTATCTTGCCTTATCTTAAAAATTTCTCCCTCCCCCCAAAATCCCCCTGTTCGAAAAAAATATTTCGGTTAATTGTCAAAATTTATTAATTTGATTAATTTGGAAAATTGGGTTAATTAACATTTTTTATTTACTCTTAACTGAATTCGAATCAAAATAATCTATAGTTAAATTTGATTTTAACCAAAAAATTTGAGAAAAGGGAAAATCAAGTCATCAATCTCAAAATATTCAATTACAAATATTAAATATATGAAGTATAATGTAAATTTTAACTTTATTAAAATAATTATATGATTATTATTAGATATCCTATCATTTTTAATATTAAAATGTTTTGATTTTTTCTTTCTCAAAAAATTAATTTGGTTTGAAATGAATTAATCAAAATATACCCCATCAAAGAATCATCATTTACTTGGAATTTTTAACTAGGTTCCACGTAGGTTACAAGAACTCAATAATGCTGGCTTATCAAATGTAAAGTTATTTGAATTAGCTGTCATCTTCAATGTGAGTTCATAGATCATTGATTACCGTCTTTTTTTGAAAAAAAAAAATTATTAAAGGTCTATATATAGAACATCTTTTACAAATAGGAAAATGGCTAGAGAAATGCAAGGTGTACTGCAATGTGGATTTGTGGAAAGCACACATACATTTGGGTTCAAATTTTGACTAAATTGATGGATACCATAAACCCCACTCTCTTTTTGTTTGGTCTTGCCATATCTACCTCCTTTTGCACGTCCACTCAGCTCAGCCTTCCTGATCACCAAAACGTGAACCATATCCATCTTGAGCACCTCGAGCCCGAAGAAACTGCTTCATTTCTGCTCGTTTAATATAACTTGATATATTCATTCCTAAAAAGCTTTTGAAAGTTACATTCATATATGGTTTTTGGTCTTTCCTGTAACAGTAGCCAGCGCGGCTGGAATTTTTTTTTTTTAAAGACCGTACGTCGGGACGCCCAATAAAGGGCAGATCGTGGTCTCGTTCATCATGGTTTTGTTAAAAAAAGTTTCAAAAGTTGGTAATTAAACGTCTTTTACATGCTTTTTTTTTTTTAGTTAATACAATTAAGGGATGAAAAATAGAATTGTTAAAGTTTAAATTTTAAAATTTTAAACTCATTGCACTTTTCAAAGAATTGTAACAATTAGCCATAATGGTGGCTGGGGAGTTACATGCTTTTTGGCAGTCTACTTTCTAGGAATGTTAATGTACCACTATATACGGTTCAATGAGAGGTCGCCAAAAAGAAAACCTCATACCATTAATTTTTTTTTTTTTTTTTTATGAGTTTGAATGGTTAAGATATCCTGCTCCAACTTTAATATAATTTGAGACTAATTTCTCCTTGTACAATTTTAGTAGCGCATCTTTTATATCAACTTAATACATAATTTTCTTGATTGTTGATCTCAAGATTTGAATTTTAAATTTAATTTACAGTACGGCACTTACTTACTACTAAATCCAACTTGAACTTTAGACCTAATTTATAAAACGACACTTATTTACAAGTGAATTCAATTCCTAATATTATAATATTAGCATATATATATATATATTCAAAACTCGAACTTAATTTTCAAAACTTAGTCAAATTCTTAACCAATGAATCAAGAGATGGCAATTTGTTCTGAAACTAGCAAAGTATCGTGGAGATCCCTATCGTAATAATAGACATTTAGAAAATATTCTATCTCATTGTGTGAGGATAGAGGCAAATTTTTCCCTCACAAAATTTTGTAAGGAATTTTCTCCACCCCACTCGTCCTTGTGATATCCATGTATAATAAAAGGATAAAGATATGTGCACACCTGGGTCAACACCCAGGTGTGCACACTCCCCTTTGAAAAAAAAAAATGCCCATCACCCACCCGGTCCAATTTTTTTTTTTATGTGGAGGTGCACACCCGGGTGTGCACCAATCAGGGTCCATAATAAAAAATATAACAATCAAGGTCCATAATAAAAAATATAAATTTATGTTTTTATAAATTATAAGATATTTACAAAAATATAAAACCCAATTAATTTTTACCCAACCCAATCTAAATTTATATGTTTATAAATTATAACATAAAGCTTCGTCTGTTCCAAAATTTTACTATTTTTATGCTATTTTTTATGAATTTATTAGACTATATACATTTGCTTATTTCAAAATTCTAACTTTTTTTTTAAAAATTTCTTTATATAGTACTTTTTATGGTGTTTTATGAAATTTTTAGCATGCTTTTTACTTCTACAAGTTTTTATTTTCATACTTTATGGACTATTTTTTATGTAATGTTATAAAATTTATTTATAAAAAAAGATAAATTTTACGATTTCAATATTTGATAGAGAATTTGTGTACCCATGAAAACTTGCCACTTTCCACAGGAATATAAACAGAAAGTACTTTTTACGTCTTATCAAAAATCTCTTTGAGAATTTTGTTTCAACTTAAATATTTTAGTACAACATAAAATAATATATTTTATAAATTAAATTTATTATTTTATTAAAAACTTGATCAAATTAACTGTTATAAGTTAATTATCTTATTTAAAGGCACATTATTACGTAATAATTGTCTAATTTATTCTTATCATTAACCTATAAATGAGAATTATAAGACTATGAGTTCTATAAATAGAATATGTCTTTTTGCTCAAAAAGTAGGAAGTTCCTCCACATTCTTCTATTTTCTGACCCT